AACAGTAAATATGACCATATTACCATTGTTATTAATACTGATAATTACTTTCTCAAGCCTAGTAATTTATTATTTTTTTTTAATTTATTTATTTTTAAGTTTAAATTAGTATGAGAATGCAGTTCTTTTTAGGAAGTATTTAATGGAATTTTACAAGTACTAAGTCAACAGAAATGAAAGATTCTGTAGTTAACTGCATAGGTCAGACTGTATATCCAGAATACATCAAATTGCACTTAAACTACAGACTACAGTAGATCTTGAAGATGGCAAACAAATGGAGAATTTGGGGATTATAATACATACAAGTGAAACAGTTTTTCGTGCAGTTTTTTTTTTAAATATTGATAATAGCAAAATATTTTTAAAAGGGAGAGGATATTGGAAGGTGCATTTGGGGATGTGTTTGTTTTTTTTAATGTTTAAATATTCAGGCAGGGACTTCAATGTCAAATAGCACAGTGTATGTAGTGGGCGGAGGACCTAAAACTTCCAATTTTAGAAAAGACAGTCTGTGCACCAATATCTACCTACCGTGAGTGTATAAATGGGTTTTAGATCTTTCAATTCTTTTTAGCTTCGTTACTTCTAAAATTCATTTGTAATATGAAATTCACGAGTGTCTTTATTGGGGAAGATGTACCTACTCAAGCAGAAAAGTAGTTGAACTATTCGTTTAAAAGATTTTTGCTTACCACACTTGTCATAATAACAGAAAATGAGTTTATGAAAATGTTGATGAAATAAGATTTTTCCAACATTTTGTTTTACTTTGATTTTTTTTGGGGGGGGAGGGGAGAGGTCTGGAAAATACTTCACTACTCTGCCTTACAGTCTGTTGTGATAATGACCTAATATGTGAGGGGAGAAAAAAAAACAACTGGGATATGAGACTGTCTAAATTAAAATTACTATTACAGGAAGCATTTTATTTTATTTTATTAGACAAATGTGTTTTCTGACCCACATAGAAACTTACTGTATTACTTCTAAAATGCATTGGCTGATCTTTTTAGTAATTAATCAAGTACTGATGCATAGACAGTGAAAATCTGTGTTGTCTTAGTGCCCAGCAAAACCCACCATAGTCAAACACTGTCACAGGCCTCCTAGCAAGGTGATTGCTACCCCATTTCCGTTAGTTAATGAGGATATTTGGATAATGTTCTCAATACTGTATTTTAACTTTTGGTTAGCCCTGAAGTGGTCAGACAGTTGGATTTGATGATCCTTGTAGGTCTCTTCCAACTGAACAATTATTCTTTAGTTTATTAAATTATTCTTTAGTTTATTATTATTATTGGGTACCTCTGCAATTAATAGCTAATCAATAGCTTCCCAAGGTCACCAATTTAGTCATGTTCAAAGAAGTTTAATTTTCTCGTAAAGTTTACTGATTTTTTGTGCTATGAAATATCTTTTTGTCGTTCGGTGGCTTTCAGAAAATGTTAGGGTCCTATTTACTTGGCATTTTTGTATTTCTAAAAATTTGTTGTGACTTTACAGTAGCTGAATTACAGGCAAGTGTAGAAAAATAATTTTGAAAAGCCATACGTGCTTATTTATATTGGTACAGAAGTTTAAAGTACTGGTGGTAGAACTTTTTTTTTAATTAAGTCTCTGAAGTATTTCAAGATCTTTGTGTATATTTTTTGCCACAGTTATAGTTATTCTTGTTAGAAGTATTTTTTTAATATTTTTAACACTGTTTAGTGTCACTTCTTTTTTGTTTAGATCCTGTGTGGTTTTCAAGTAGTGTACTTTTTGTGGGATTATATTAGTTCCCAGCTGAAGGCATCACTAAAGGTACCCGTTTAAGTAGCATGTGCATTGATTGCATAATGTATGATGAACAGAAAACAATGCCTTGCAGCATGTTGCATCAGCTTTTTTCCTCTTACAGTGATAAACAAATATGTTTTTATTAACACAATAGAACTGAATTCTGAATTTAAAAAGTAGGTTATATAACATGGGGATTCAGATAATTTTCTTTTCTTCAAAGAGACATCTGCATGTGTTAAAACCCCCTTTCTTCCTTCTGCTTGATCATGTTGGCTCTCTACCTTTCCCTCTCCTGTCTGCTTTAGAAAGATGGTAAACAAAGGTAAAACCAACCAAAACATTCTGTAGGTATAATCAGTGTGAGATAACTGTGCATTGGTAGTTTTTTTGCCACTTCAGTGAATGATTGTTGATAGTTTAAAAAAAAAAAAAAGCTTGTTGCTTCTTCCCAACTAAATGGAGAATTGCACTAAACTACATCTGTATGAAGCAATACAGATGCTTTAGCTTCCAGATTGATTTTTTTTTTTTTAATCTTTTTTGAGCTACCCTGTGTTAACTGCTGTAAAATCCTTATTCATCTCTACCTTCAACTAGTTCTTTGGCATCAAGATAAAAAGCCTGTCTCATCGTGAAACAGGCACGTGTGCAAGGAATACCTGAAAAGAGTTGGGAGGTTGGTCAGTAGTAGTATATTGATTCTTAAATTTATCAAGTAGTGTTTTATTTATTTAATTCTACTTTAAAAATCTGTAATTTGTGGTTCTATTGCAGTCAAGTCACTGCTAAAATGGACTGAATGAGAAAGAGGCTCAATAACAGAAGGGGCAGAAGCATGACTTTTGATAGCATTATGCTTGTAATCAATCAAACTGTGTAGAAGAATTTCTGGTAATTTAATGTCTCTTCTGCCTGTGAGTCTTAAGTTGGTAAGATTTGTGTAGATGCTCAACAGCAAGTTTGGTATAGTCACTGAATTTAGTTGTGATTTCAGTTATTTCTTTATGATTTTTGTGAATTGGCATGAAGGTAACTAAAAGTTCTTAGTCTCCTGCTTGAAACTATTTGAAGAGTAGCTGTAGTTTGTTACAAAATTTCTGAAAGTTTGGTCTTTTGTATTGTAAGTATGATTACTAGTTTCACAACACCTAAAGAAATGCAATCTGGAAACAGTTGAGGGAGGGATACTATTGAAAATTTGTTGTTTGCCCTGTGTGGACTCTTGCTCATAAAGTTGTTTTTCTTTCTGTGTCTGATCAGGTGTATGTGAATTATCAATGGAAAAAAAAATCCTTTTTGTGAACTGACATTTGGTAGCATATTTGCTTCTCTGGTTTTGTATATTATAACAAAATATTTTTGTTAGCCCTGCAGTTTTGCAGGTCTCAAGATAGAGACAAATAGTACTGTCTTTGTGTATTTTCTTTTAGCTAATAAAAGAACAGGTTTATCTTTAATGTTTGTGGCTGATTGACAAGTCTCATACTCTCTCTGTAAGCAGATTATAAGGATGTATGTTCTTCACCATATTTCCATAAACATTTGATTTTATATGGAAATTAGGAAGGCTTCATTAAAGGGATTAGGAATAAGTCACTTATCTTCTCAAATAATTTCTCACACCTGTCTCACCAAACAAATTCCTGCTTTTCAATAGTTTCTCATGCTTTAACAGAACTCACAACGTTTATTGTGTTGTCATGGGAGAAGTCATTATTAACTCTTGGATTATTACTTTTTTATTTGTTCAGCATCTGGTTTTATATCCATGTTTAATTGAGAACAGTTAGTGAGAAGGGTTTGATTATTTCATAGAGTGTCACTTTAGGATTTTGAACTGTAGTTCATTGGGTCAGGGCTATCTGTAAGATTGCTGTAAAGTTGATGTGTAACTCTGTCCTTTGCCAAATATATAGCAGGCTGGTCATACGTGGCCAGGCTTGCAAAATAATAGCAGGGAAAGGGGAGAACAAGCATTACGTTGTTGAACAGTCTTTTCTGCTTAGCTTTCTCTGCTTCAGGCGTTTTAGAGGTAGCTGGAGATAAAGGAACTGTCTTGGACTAGCTTAGTTTATGCTGGTATGCAGCCGCACAGGGTAAACTAATTATTCAAGTGGTATAAACCCAGTAGTATTACTTTGAGATGTTTTCCTGCTGGTAATGTGTACGAGGTGAAAGCAACTTTGTTTTTTCTTTAAGAGGTTGAAACTGAGGCTTTAGTGTTAACTCTTAACACTAAAAGTATACATGTTTTTATAGGAGATAACTGTAGTGAAACCCATCCTGATGAAACAGCACAGCAAAAAAAAACTGCTCTGAGAAGAAAAATATTTAGTCTGCTTAAAACTTACTCTTAATTATACTTCAAAGTTTTTCAATCACTTCTGGCTGACTTAAAATGTTCATCAAATTTTATTAGTGTTAGACATGTTAAGCTTCTATTTCTTCAGTGCCAAATATGTTCTATAATATTTAAAAGGAAATAAATCCTTGTTAATGGGTTTATGCAATACTTTAGCAAATTTTGTAAAAATTAAGTACACTGAATTATTCAGAAAATCATCATATATTTTAAATATCTGAATACCATTTTACTTTCTGTATAATTTTAAGTACTGAATATAAAGGCAGCAATCTTTGTTACTTATAAACAAACGATAAAAGAATCCAATTTAAAGTATTTTTATATGTTTTACAGTGTGTTTTTTTTTTTGTGTGTGTTTTGCTATTTACTATGGACAAGACAATTAGTAAAAACCTACCTCTTCAAGTTTATTTTGTGATGAATCTAGAATAATTTATCTTACTGGTTTTGGGTTAACTTCTAATGCTATCTGAGATACTGCAGTGTCAACAGAGGGCACTCATGTGCTTTGTGGTAACACCAAATCAGTGCATTTTTAAAGGTGTTTGGAATAAACTGGACTGAAGATACTAGAACTTCTGGGTTAAAAATATATATAAATATATATAAATATAATGTGATAGTATATATAATATATGTATAAATATAACGTGATAGTACATGAAAAATTTGTCATCTTATTAAGAATTTTGTTTCACTTTCCTTCTACTTAGATATTTTTTAGTACATTGAGGCAATGGATTTGCATTTTCTTGAGCTAATTCTTATAGATGAGTTATGGCTTTCTGACTAAGTTGCTATTAGTCTCTTCAACAATTGTATCAGAATTTAATAAATACATTCTTTACAGCTAAAAAGGCAATAGAAGAAACAGAAGAAAAGAAAGTAGCTCAGTCGAAGAAAAAGATTAAAGAATTAAGAGTTTTGGACGGAAAAACTGCACAAAACTTATGTGAGTGTCAAATATTATAAATGAATAATTATAATTTCCACATGGCTGTTCTTAAATATTCTTTCCTTGTTTAAATGTGCAATATTTTTCTAAAAATTGGCTAATGTGAATGTAAGTCTTAAGTTCAGAGAAGTTTTATGTAAGTATGATCTAAATTCACTTTACAGCCTTGGAAAATGAAAAAAAAAAGAAAAACAAACAAAACAAAACAAAACAAACAGAAAATGGTGTAAACTTAAATTTTAATTATACCTTTTTTTTAATTACAGAGTTGATTGTTTCTCTAACTGCATTAGACTAGAAGTATAATTAAGTGATAGTCACTGATTCAGGGACACAGTGTTGGTGGGTTTTAGGTTTGGCCTCTCAGCTTCCATCCCCAGTGGATTTTTCTGGTTACAGCAGTGGATAAAGAACTTGATGAGGGATAGATAGACTTTTGAAGAGACAAATATTGCCAAATGGGATAAATTAGGTGCAAAAACCACTATTATAAAATCTAAAGAAAACAGCACCACCTATTATTTTTAATTTGCTTTTCCATTTTAAGATGGAGGGAAATTGATTTCTGAGAGTAGTAGATTTTTTAATATCTGAATTAGAAATACCTTAAAATGCCAGTAGTCCATCTACACTTGAGGCAAAGCAAGTATATAAAAACAAATCCGTGCATTGTTTATTGCCATATCCATGAATACATTTTCCTAAGCAGAAAAAGTGCTATGACACAAGTGATAGAAAATTTTAAACAAATCATTGAAAATAGGATTGTAGGAAAATCAGACATAGTAATTGGGTTGAATATGTAGCATATCATGAAAAACGATGTATCAGTCTGTATGTGTTAGGGATATTTTGCGTTTTATGGAATAGGGTTCTGAGACGTTGTAACATCCTGGGATCAAATTATTTTACAAATGTCATCTTTGAAACATATACAATATATATAGTCTCTTATAAGCTTAGTTACTTAAAAATGGTAGAGGAGTTAGAGTGTGTGTATATATATTGTCTTTGCCTTTGACAAGGATTTTTTTTAGAATGTTATGAAAATACTCAACCAGTTATAAATTCAGTACAGGTGTGTAAACGTGGTTGTGAAAGCAGAAGTACCAGCTAAAGTCTTATAATGGGTTGAACATGTCTGTTTTAGTAGTAACACAAGTATGTTGCTATTCATAAAAGAAAAAAAAAGACTTATTTCTGACAGATAAATAATACTGCTAGGAAGAAACAGTCCAAATTGTTGTCATAGTTTGATTTCTTAGAAATGACATTTATTATGATTTCAATGCAAATAGCATACTTCATATAACACTTAGTTTATATAGAAAATTTTCTTCGTGTGAGTTAGCTTAATTTGGATCAAGATACATTTTTTTGAGTTGTTAGAATTGAAATTTGTATTCCTACATCCCATCTTCTTTGACCTTTTGGATTCTAATGATTTCTTACTGAATTTCAGCAATATTTTTGGGTTCTTTCCGTTTGCCTTACGAAGAAATAAAAAATATCATTTTAGAGGTTGATGAAGAAAAGCTGAGTGAATCCTTGATTCAGGTATGTGAAAAATGTTTGGTTTTGTTCATAGGGTGTTGTACATACAAATGATTACAAATGATGTTGTATCATACAAATGATACAAAGGTGTAAGAATTAAGAAGTAACAATAGTGTAGAGTTTTCTAGATATCAGCTATAAATATATCACTTGAATTTAGTGTTTTGTTTATTTCACTTCTACTTTTGTATATGCTTACATATGGCAATAAAACTGTCTTTAAAAGACTCTTAAAATTCTTTCTTCTGAAAGCGAAAATTCATAATGTAGGAGATTAAAAAAAATAATCTGATTCTAGTTTTTGAGCTTGAGACAAATGTTTACCTAGTTTAGGCTAGTGGATAATAGAGTTTCAGGAAAGCTTCTTGTTGAAAAACCTCTGCTTGTCAGTAGTGATAGATGAAACTACTTGAATGTTTCAGGATACTGCTACAGTGCAATGCAAGACCAACCAAAGAAACAGAAAGAATCTATAAATCAGACCTGCTTCTGAGTGTCTTTGATCTTATTTTAAGGCCAAAATCTGTCAGCCAGAGAGATGGAAATATGGAGTACAGCTTCTTTACATGTCTCTGGTTGCTGTCCTCACAGTAGGAGGAGAGCAATCTCTGTGGAGTAAGAGCACAAGAGAGAAAAAGGCAAACCTGAAATGGTATATAGATGCAGCACACTGATGATACTGATGTTGAATTACTTCCTCTTAATATCCTATGCAGATTATTGGTGTCATCATTACCAGCTGATCCAGTCTTCACTAATTGATATTTTTGTAGCTAATGTAGTGGGCTGCTGTTTGTCCTTTTGTTCTTCGTTGTCCCCTGTTTGTGACCCTGTCCTAATTCCCACAAGGCTTTGTAAATGAATGTTTTCTTCCTTTCTTGGTTGTTGAAAATGATTATTCCAGGGAGATTGGGCTGAACAAGCCTTTACACAGTTAGTACTTCATCACTTTGTCAAATTTTAGCATGGATTTTTTTAAGCAATGTTTTTTTTGTTGTTGTTGTTTTTTGTTTTTAAGATATAACATTTAGCATTACTTGTAACATTTAATGTAAGATTATGTTATCTCCACAACAGTCTTAAGTTGTAATCAAAATGCTATAGAATTGCATGTTTCATCTTTATCTGTCTATATGTTTATCTGTCTATAACTTCTAAATACTGTGAAGGCATTCTTCAAATTGAAGACAGTGCTGATGTCTGTATTAATTACTGGTTTCATTTAATTTTTATATAGTGTCTAAGCTATGTAGATAAAATAAGTTCCCTATAATTTCCTCATGTATTTCTGTGTTGTGTTATTTTAAACATTATTTTAAGATGCCAGCTCATTTGTTATATCAAGTTTAATATAATGCCTTTTTTATTTTAGAACCTAGTGAAGAATCTTCCTGAGCAGAAAGAACTTAATGCCTTAGCTGAACTGAAGGATGAATATAATGATCTCGCTGAGTCAGAACAATTTGGAGTTGTGGTATGTATTAATGCAGTAATTAACTGGAGAGTATTATTTCATCAAATAGATGAAACTCGAAAGTCTTTTGGTTAGTGTTATTTCACATTCTGCATTAAGTAAATGTTGCTGTATTTATTGATCAGAAACAGTCTAAAAATCTCTGTAAATTCATACTTGTTTTCTTGTGGTAGTGATTATAGCATGTGATTAAGAACATTAAGACATTTCTTTATCAGACCAAGTCTTTAATCTGATTCTTGTACGGTGTTTTGCATGGAACACTTAAGTATTTATTGTGCCTAGAGTGTTCTTCATAACTGTTTTATGAAGTCTTAGAAATTTAACTTCTTAAAGATCCATTTACTGTGGCACTGACAAATTTGATGAATTTATTCTTCTGTATTGAAAACTGAACATCTGAAAGTCGTGCTTATAATATCTCAACTCAGGTTTTATCTTTTGGCAAGATATATCTGCACATCTTTAAAGGTGGGGGAAAGATTTCTTTGTAGGAAGAGTTACAAAATTGCACTCTGATCAATAGAAAGCTTTTTTAGGAGTTGGATTCGATTTTACTTGTGGGTCCATTCCAATTTGGGATATTCTATGATTCTATATATTATAAATGTGTGTATACACCTACATGCATATACATACAGTATGAATGTGTATGTATACATATATTTATGAAACTGCTTTAGAAAAAGCATGGATTTGTAATAGAATTGAAATTTAACATCATATTCTGTTGCTTTTACTGGCGTTCAATAAATGTATCTATTACAAAGGAAGGGATATCAGATAAAATGACTAGAACCTGTCTCTGAATGAAATCATTCAGTTTGCATAAATTGCCAAATACATGCTGGTATGTGATTTTATGGTACCAGGTACTAAGGTAGGACTTGGAAGATTCTTTTTCTGATTCTGGTTTTCCAAAGACTTGATAAAGCCTTAAGCAATTTAGTTTATCATTTCACTTTAGTTTTGACATTCTGAGAGACTATATCGCCTTTGTAATGTATTTGAATGTATTCTTAACACCAGAGGAGCTAGGCTTGGTGTTGTTGGAATTTTACAGCATTATGTAAATTAAAAAGTATTAAAACAGAAATAGCAGTTCTTGAAATAGTAGAAACAGCTTTATTTACATATATGCGTGTGTGTGTGTGCGCATGTGTATATGTATATATAAACAGTCTCTGCTTTGAGTGTAAGTTGGCTTCAGAAATACCTTTTGAGTGATTTGTTTGTATTTAGGGAACATGATTTGAACTAGTGAGATTTTTGTAGAGGATACAAAAAATGAAAGGTATCCATGAGTTTTGAAAATTCCTAGGCAATTGATTTTAATTTTTTATAAATGGTATAAAGTTCCAAAAACATTATTTCAGAACAACAAGGAAACTTGGAAGAATATGAACATATTCATTCCTAATATTCTACCAGATTTCCTCATTGTTCTGAAACATGATTTTGGAACAGTTTATATTATGTATTATTTTGTATTTATTATAATGTAATATTTATATAAACTCTTTAAAACCCCAGGAGGAAGATGTTGTTCCCTCCTGTCATGTAACAGACATTTCTAGTGAATAAAATGGTGTGATAAAATGACAATAGTGCTTCCAGCCCTATGGCAGAAAGGGCTTTTAATCTCTAGGAGGGAAGGCAGGCAGGCCAGAACAATTGCACTGTCTGCTTCCTGCCTACTTTTGAAATGGCGACAAGCAAAGGGTGACAGGGAGTGACTGATGTACCTGAAAAGCCAAAGTGGCAAATTGTAGATGTTGTGCAAGAAAACCTCAGGATGGAAGCAAGCATGGCAGAGGCACTGGGACAAATGACTGGTGTCTGCCATTCAGTTAACTAGTTAAGCATAATTTTCTGAAATTTCTCAGTTCCTTCTTTTTACTGCTGTAAGGTATTTCATGTTGCACCTTTGATCTTTGTAACTGAGATTTTTCTCCCAGCTTGATGCCTTCTGAACACTGCAATTTATAAACATCATACCCTCCTTGTCTCTTCAGCTTCAGTCTTTCTCCCCATTCACTTTTTGCTGCATTTCTCTCTAGCTTTTACATAATGGTATTTCTGGAATGCTATACTGTCTATCTACATCCTCCGACTGTTCTGCTCTCTGTTGGGTAATAGTAAATTATTTTCCTGATGAGGAATGATGAGGCTGAACTCAGTTTTGGCTATCTTCGTTTTCAAAAGTGTTTTCCTTACATACAGTCAGAAGTTCCTCAGCACCATCATGTCTTTTGCTTTTGCTCTATCACTATGCACTTTCAAGAATCCTCTGTGTTTTCTCTGTTTCTTCCATTTAGGTAGTTACAAATGGTAGTTAAGGGCAGCTATTCACTAAAGAAACAGGTGTTGTGGGTTGATCTGGGTACACAGTTAAGCAGAGCATAAATGCTCACTTATTTGTTCCTTATATCCCCTCCCTACAGGGTAGAAAGAAAGCACAGAAGTTGAGATTATTTAAAAAAAAAAAAAAAAAAAAAAAAAAACAATAAATGAAGGACAAGTGGAAGAAGAAAAAACGAAAGTGATGTAATGGCATCTTTATTTCAACTCCTAAACTTACTGTGCAACTCCTGTCTATTCATTGGGGGAAGGCAGATTGAGACACAGAGAATGCTGTGACACTGTTCATCAGTAATTAGAACATCACTGTTATCAGCATTGTTTTCATCATAAATAATAATAATAAAAAAAAACCACCATACAGTCTGCTATGAAGAAAACTAACTAATCCTAGCCAAATGCAGTAAAACAGATTAGTCCAACTTTTGTTGGCAGATTGTTGCTGCCAAAATTTGTTTGCTTGTCATAGGCTTACTTTAGAAGCATATATATTTTTTTTAAGAATTGAAGTAACTCTATTTGTACATTTATGCAAAGATGATCTGCTGTTCATAAAGATAGAATTATTTCTCTAATTTAACATGTTCAGAAGGTGTTATGAAAGAAATTGCAACTTCATCTGAAATTCTAATGGGGCATAGGACAGGCAGGATGAGGTTTTGAATTTTGTACCTCTTTTGGTCATATTTGACCAGTGGATGTGCAATTTTGGTATTATGCTAATACACTGCTGTTAGAAATAAAACAAACTGATAGTTAACTTAAGGTGTAATTATTACAGGTATCAAAATGTTGATCTATCCCTGTGGAAGCATTTATTTCTAAAGTAAAGAAAACCTGCAAAATAATCTTCCGTTATTTGCCATATATTTGGCTTCATCTTGATTGAATGAATATGACTTTGATAAATGAAAGAACATAACTGATGCTCTCGTTTACTTTAGCATGTTTATATATGAATTGTCTGCACAGTGAGCGTAAATTAATTTACCAAGTGCAATGTGACTTGACAGAGTGCAAAAGCTATTCCAATTTTCTGTTACCAAACATAGTACTGAGCGTATGATAATATGTGGAGAATGTTTTTGTTCTCCTATTTGGAAGATTTTTTTTCTTTGATCCAGAAGACTAGAAGAAGGACTCTTGTGTTGTTTTCATTTAGTGGTAAACCAAAAGTAATTAATGAAGTTGCCAAGATACAAGCCCTGTGTATTAGGTATGTGTAGAAAGTAGGTGCTCTCAAGACACTTCTTACCAAAGCATGAATTAATGCCAGTTGGCTTTACTGATATCTGAAAACCACTTGAACTGAGGAGGAGTAACCTTGGGTTTTAGCAGTTGTTGCATAGTTCAAGTTTTTAATTGATCAGTTTTCTAGCAACTATATCTAGTGCTTGCTTAATGCTTTCTCATTCCTTCTATATAGTATTATGATTTTTTTCTTTTCCCAGAAACTACGCCACTAATTGAAAGTGGTTGGGGAGACTGTATTCTCTTTCTTGTTTGCCTTAGAAATAGATGATGTTGGATTTACCTCACTTGTGATTACTACTGGATTGAATCTAAATGGTTCTTCAATAAGATTTGACTAAAAAATTAGAAGTCATAAAAATATACTTTTTTTCAGACAATACTAATATAGTCATTTATTTGTGATTATTTGTTTTGAGGGATGACTGACTACAAAAGTGTGTGATCCAACGTTAACCAGAAAAAAAAAAAGCTAAACCAAGCATATCAAAATGGTGATGTTTACCTCATGAAAGGGTTGAAGGTTGTTGGCATATTCAAATTTATTTCTTACTAAACCATATGGTAAAATACTGCTTTCAGGATATAAAGAGTTTTACAACTTTTTCCTATGCTATTTTGAATAAAAACATTAATTGGAGGTTTTCCTGCAAAAGTCACTTAATCACTTAACTTGCTTTGACTTCCATTTACTGTAGCACAGTGAATGTAGATTGTTTTCAGAACAAATGTTTTCAGTATGACTTTTGTGAAACAGAGAATGATTAGAAAAGTAATGTTTCAAGACTGAATGGTGGCGTCTTATGGAGGCTTCAGTAGATATTTCTAATAATGGGGATTAAAAAGCAAGTTATGCTGAAACACTTTTTTACTGAATCATTCATTTTCCTCATAGAAAAATCTCAAAGTTCCTCAAAGGAGATGTGGTCAAAGTCTGAGCAAAATACATAAGCAAATAAAAATCTTTGTTTTGATGGCCAAGATCTGTGATTTGTCACATAACAAAGCTTTTCTTTCAGGGGGACAAAGTGCTTCAGGAACACCACTGATAGTGAATACATTGGGGGAGAAATCTTTCTGTATTCTTCTAATTAAAATTAAGAGTTAGATTTGGAAGGTAATCATTCTTGCATTTAAATGAAAATTTTTAAGTGGATTAAAAATTTTCAATACATATTATTTTCTTAAATTTATACATATTTTTATGAATTAAAGTCCATGGCAAAGTAGAAGGAAATATTACTGATTACTTGTGCAAAATACAAAATAATAATTTCTAGAATAATAAAATTGGTATTGGGGTTTAAGGTAATGATATTGCTATCAGAGATACTTCTCAGTATCTGTGTCATGTACTGTTGTACAACTTTGTTATCTTATAGCCTTCCCATCAGGTCAGGAATGAATTAGTGCTATACTACCTTTTAAAAAATCCCTGAGACAGAAAATAGTGTCTTGGGGAGAAGCTTTACAAAGTTTGTTTCAAAAGACAACAAGTTGAATAGTAGGCAGTTTGTTGCCTACACTTCATGATGTTATGTGATCAGAACTGAAAGAGTGAGTAAACCTAAGTATATCCTTTTTTAGTATCTGTGTATATTTTTTCAAATCTATAGAAACTTGTCATAAATTTGAGCCCAAAACTCTTCATTCACCTCCTAAATCTGGATTATGCATTGGGATAGACAAAGATGAGACTTTTTCTTGGATGGTATGAACTTAAAAAGCTTTCATATCAAATATATCATACTGTATATATAATATAACTTTGAGCTTGTTTCGTAACCGTCATTCCAAAATGCTGATAGGATACATATTACTTATCACTTGGTATCAGTATAGGTAATAACAGAAAACTATTTAAGCTTCAGTTTAATTAAAACCTGCAAAAATAATCACCAAATTAGATGTAGCACTAATATAATTTGCTGATGTTATCAGCAAATATCATAAGTTATAGCTCCCATTAGTACAATGGCAATATTCCGTGAACAGTGGCACTAATGTAATCTGGCTTCATATAAACATCTGACTAATGAACCCTGACCTTCAGTGTCTCAAACTCACTTAGATATTCCCAAGGCCTACCACAAGGGCCCCTAAGAATTCGTCATCTTTTTCTCCCCAACTGCTCTCCCAGTGATGAAGAGAACTTGAGAACTGTGCATCAGCTCAGTAAGAGAGTCTAAAAATGATAATTCTCTTGTTTAATCAGACTGTAACTGTTTATATTTCTGCTATCTTACAATCTTTCAAGCGTCTGTGGTTTAGACCATTTCTGAAGGAAGAAAAACTTGAGAAACTTAGCTTACAAGTCTAACTTCATTGGAGCTTTGACTAAATGGTCATCACATATGCCTTCAGGCTAATATGTTAACTGGTGGAACTGGCTTACATACATTCTGTGATGAGGAACAAGTTTAGTAGCGTACATTTATTGCTAGTGAGTTTGGAAATTAATGATTTGGTAACACAAAGCACTCTTATTTTCAGTATGTTGTTTTACTGAATTATTTCAAGCAAAGCATATGGTTTTGGGAAAAAATACCTTTGTGCGGGTACAGATTCTTTGAAAATACAAGATAGGCAATGAAAATATAGAAATTGTAGTCTTCCAACTCTGGCTGCGTAATGTTGGTTTTTAATATAAACCTTTGTTCTTTTATGTTCTGATGTAACTTTTCTTGTTTTATAGATGAGTTCAGTGAAAATGTTGCGGTCACGTCTCAATGGGATCCTTTTCAGGCTTATGTTTGAAGAACACGTAAACAATATCAAACCTGACATTATGGCGGTTACAATGGCTTGTGAAGAGCTGAAGAAGAGTGAAAGCTTCAGCAGGCTTTTAGAGTTAGTGTTATTTCTTGGAAACTACATGAACTCTGGTTCCAGAAATGCACAGTCTCTTGGTTTTAACATCAGTTTTCTTTGCAAGGTAAGATGAAACTATAAAACTGGTAAGTGCAGATTCATGAAGCTTACAACCACAAGAGAAACTACCGCAAGTTAGGGAAAAACACTCAGTCAATGTAGTTTACTGACCACATCGCTATTTTAAATAACAGATGCACAAACACAGAATAAAACTTTCTAGCATGCTATGTTCCTATAGCTGTCCTACTCAGTGCACTGGTGATTAAAGGCAGTCGTTAAACAGTAAGTCTGTTCTGAGTCTTTCTGGAACATAAAAGTAGAACAGACTTTCCAACCTCAATTTTTTCAACCATTATCTCTTCAATAGTATGCACATAGACTTTGGGATAAATTGCTCTGGCTACTTGTCTCTTGCTTCTGTATTCCATCCTGCTATCCATAAAGCAAGAGGTAAGTATGTGGAATTAAAGACAGACTTCTTTATCCTATGTTAAACTTCACTTGTGGTGGCAAAATGAGATACAACATCGACTTAATTTGTAGCAGTACTTGTTTATTTAAATGATGAAATGTGATTAAGGCATTGATCTGAGCTTGACCATCTCAGTTTGTAAAGTACCTGTCTTTGAAATAAAGAGATGCAACATCTGTAAACATATTTAAAACAAAACAAAACAAAACATAAATCTCAGAATTTTGCTGTTATTTCTTATCTTTGATATAATATGAGGGCCCATGGTTCAAGTCCCCATCTGAGGCCACATAGAAATCTAATACGTACTTCAAGGAGTTGTAACTATGGGGGAAAACAGCCTTTCAAATACACAGCAAGTCTGATCTGACATATTTCAGTAGAGGAGGACCCTCTGCTAACTATAGTTTAATACAAAGATCTTGCCAACATGACGTAAAATAAAACCATGACCCGGAAAGTAGTTTAATTCATTAATGGCTTTTTTAAAGAGTAGCCAATTTGAAGTTTATTTTATAAATCCAATGGTGCTTTTTCTTGTCACTAACATATGAATCTAAAGGGAAATTAGTGAGTTAAGTGGAAATCTTTTTAATTTAGAGGGAGATAAAATGATGACTATGCATAAATGGTATTCTAGCATAGCACAGATTTGAGAAGGTATTCTTGCATTCCAGGTGACTTATAAATTGCTGTCAATGCAAATCCCAAAGGTGTTGACACAGCTAATGTAGATTGACTAATCCTGCAAATTGTTTTCTACTTGAACTGAGTAATTGCTGAAGCATAACTCTCTGTGCTTACAGCTGAATTCCATTTAAAATAACTGAGATAAAAATTTATGACTACTTGCCTTGCCCTCAAAAAAAACAACCCACCTTTTTTCAATACATGTTTCTGAAGGAAGTACTCTTTTACCTGTGAGAGAAAATATTTAAGCATTCTCCATAACAAAATGCTTACTGTGCTGCTGCATTTAGATGTTAATTATGTTTTGTTGTAAGGTGATGTCTAAAAATAAAATAATTACAAGGACAGTGATGTCTGTTGGAGTGAAAAAGGAGGTCTCACCAAAATGTAGACATAAAATTGTATCATTAATACCTCTGTATAGTAATTATGCTTGTGAATTATCACTAATCAGTTGCAAAGTCAGGAAAAGTAATTTAAGTTAGTGGATAAGTTTCTCCAGACAGAGCGACGTAGTTGTTATTTGCTTCTGTTGTTTATTAATTAAGTTAAAAGATGCTTGCTGCTTCCATTTAGTCCTCTGATTTTCATTGCTTTTATGCATTTACCATTCAAATTTGAATTAGATCATTATAATAATGTGCTTTTGCTATAGATGTTTTTTCCTCAAAATTTGTCCCTGTAGCGTCTTACTTAAAGAACCACCCTTCCGGACCATTGATATTTATTTTGTGTGTATATATATATATATTAAAAAGAGGTGTTTACACACTTAGTATTCTTGATTATTTTTCTTAATTTCATTACTTCTATAGACAAAGCTGATATTTGGATAATGACTTTTTTTTTGGTACATTATTTTTGATTGGTAATTGCATTTGGTTCCTTTGTTATATAGCTTTCAAATTCTACCCTCCCATTCTCCCCCCAAAGTAGTAAGATGGCATTATTGGCTCTGTATTTTTAACTAAGAGTATAGTCTCACAGACCTTCATTAACTGCCTTGAAGAATATAAAATATTAAACTATATCAGGTGGTGGTATCTTCTGTAAACACCAGATTTAATATATTTGTAGCCACTTAACAGCTTCATTACGTGATTAAAACAGTGTTGAAATCAAAGACTTGAAAAATGGTTGGCCTTCAATTGTGTAAATCAATGCTTCTGTATGCATAAGGATGGTAGGGTGAGTGTAATGTCCTATTCAGAGAAACCTTACTGTGAATAGAAAAAATAGAAATACCTGTCTTCTGTTTTTTCGCTGAAGGCACTAAGAGAAAAAAGTGAAATTTCACAGCAAAAACAAGATAGCAGTCTGTTTGCCAGTGTCTTGTGGCTTATACGTGTTTGCTCTGTGGTGTACCTATATGCTACTAAATTTTGAAGGCTGTGTAAACACTGAAAGACATTTATTTATTTATTTTATTTTATTTTATTGGTGGCAATTTGAGAAGGCAGCATTACTGCATAAAAAGGTCTGCCTTGAATAATTTTCAAGTGTATTTGTTTCTTCTCCCAGGCAATATATTTGAGTTGTAAGCTTTTATAGAGGAATTTGAGAGCCATTAGTTAGCATTTTGATAGAATATATGTAAAGCATAATAATGACTAACTTACTTTACTGTTTTGTGAGCTCTGTTTTTGTGTGTGGAACCCTCATAAGTCATAGTATGTTATTATTTAGAAATTGCATTTCTATAATGTCAGGTACATTGTTAGACTAGGCGTCAGGTATAAAATGTCAAAGAAATTTCATCCTAAGTTTTTGTTTTGCTTGCCATGGAAGTGTTTTTTTTTGTTGTTGTTGTTGTTATTTAAGTGACTTTAGAAACAGAAATGTTTCTTACCTTTTCTAATATTGCCTTTTGTTGAGTCACACTATGGCATGAATATAAACTACAATTTGCAAAGTACAGGAAATGCTGTAGAGCATGCTTAGCATGCTTTAAGAACTTGTTTGCTGTTCTGCCTGTCAATTGGCATATTTAATCAGTTAGGAAAAAAATCAGACAACACAATTTCTTTCTACTAACCACAAGATCATCTATTCTCTTAAAACAAAAGACGACATTTTAAATTATTAAGTTGCTGCCAGTTTTGGGAAGAGCTTTAACCTGAGACTACACTTGTACAAAGTGCGTTCATTCTCTGTCCCAGTATTTAAAATCTCTGTCAGCTTCTTTTCAAATATACTGTGAAGGTGTTATTTTCATACTATATAAATAAGTAGCATATAACTTTTTACTGTATTAAATAAAGAAAGCTTTCATAGTATGGCTTTTTTGCTATTAAGTTTGCAACTTCTTGGAGCTTACTGTTTTGTTTTTTTTATTAATCAAGGGATTGTAATAAATAATGGTGTTAATTTGAAGTGATGCTTTGGCTAGTCTTCTGTTGTCAGGGCCAACTATACAAAGGAAAAGTCTGTATTAGGTGCATTTTGCTTATTTCAGTGGCTCATGAATGATGGCAAAACTTAGTGTTATGAACTGTTCATGAAGTTCAAAAACATACAGTGGGACACAAGAGGAAAAGTAAAAAGGGGAAAGTATGAATGTCTTTTTTTGAATTACTAGCACGATTAAGCTTCTATTTTGTGAAGAACAATTATGTTTTGATGTCTGTCTATATCACAGGTGATGACAATTTTAGAGATGAGGATGTCTGTTTGTCTACTTTTGAAGATTACATATCTAGTGACCGTTTCTATAGGAGTTTTATAAAGAATGGTTAGCTTAATGTTTTCAAATGCTTATTTTTCACTGGTAATTTTTGGACTGATGGTGTTTTTTTAAGCTCACTGTAGTCTACTTCATTGGATAAAGCATGATCTAAGTTTAATAACAGTATTATCCTCTGAATATTCTTGTTCTAGAAGGACTTCAACTGTTATGTGAACATGATTTATTCTAAATCAAGCGGAATGTGGCTTGTATGTTAGTTTTTAGCTATTCTTTATATTTGATGTTTTGACTAGCGTTTAAGTCTCAGAAAGATAACCAGAAAATATAGTTGGTTCAGGGGAATCAAACAGTGGATATTAATCAAGAATTTTTGAAGTCTTGATACTTGTAAGATGGTAAGATTTTTTTCATTAGACCAGTAATTTAAACTGTCTTTAGGCTTTCTGCCTATGCATGGAACCACAATAAGAGAGCTTTTATGTATTTATTTATTTATTTTGGTAGAACCAGAATTTCTGACTGTCAGTAAGTTAGAAGTGTCTGTATACACATTTCTTTAAGTAAAATACGTTTAGAAATCAGTTTGTTTTTATAAAGTATCCTAACCTGATAAATTCACTTTTCAATAGAACTTGATATCCATATTGATTTTATTGTTTTTCTTGAACAATCTTAAAATTAATTGTCTGTTAGTAGAGCTGAAATCAAAAACAAGGCAGGTATTGATCTGAGACAAATCTTTTGTGAAATACATGTTCTTAAAATATAGCTGGTCATCTGATATACAGAAATCTTATTGTGTAATAGCTTTTAATAACGTTCAATAAAAGAAAACACTGATTCAAACTTACTTGGTTATAGTTAGAAAGCTAATGCTTTTGTGGTAATTGCAAATCCTTAAAAGCAAATTCTGTTTCTGAATGTTACACTGCAGAGTAGATTCGAAAAAGCAGTGATTTGTAAACAGCATTTGGAAGAATACAGAAAACTTAATTTTGTTTAAATAGGAGAGGCCAAGCCGTTACTCCTGGTGTATGTACTAGAGTATTCTTGATTGCCTAAGTGTCAAGTGCTCTGTGAAAACATGAATATGGCAGAAGTAGCAAAGTTATGCAGGGAAGATGCTGTAATAATTAACTGAAGTTGAATTTTTTTGAGTTGTTGCTTTTGATTATTGTGTGTAAATGATCAAACTGTAATTATTTGCAAAAAGATGATAGTTACCATCTTTTCAAGCATGAGAAAACCCTTGTAGTTTTAGGCTAGATAGAAATGTAATTGAAAGAAATAAAATTAGCTTTAAGCATATGTAGAGTACAACTTCTGTTGTTTCGTGTTTGAGTTAATGGAAAGGCTAACAGCAAGCACTGTTGCTTTAAATAAAGCTTTTCTATTATTCCATCTGGAACAATTTGTTATTTTATATAATAAGTAATATTTCTGTGTTGTTCACAGTGAGAATAGTACAAGATGAGCTGTTCATATAGGCTGAGTATCACTGACTAGTGTTTATTATTATTGACTACCAGTCTCTTCTCTTTTAAGGTAGGGATAGAGAGAGAGAGATTTCTTGGCATAAGATGCATGATTTTATGTAATCTCATTTAAATCAATAGAAAGCTCTTCCAGGAGCTGGACATGGATGATCCTTGTGGGTGTCTCCCAACTCAGGATATTCTATGATTTATAATAATCAAATGTTGCTCTGGTGGTGATTCTATGAATATACTAACTTGCGTTACATTCACTGTCGCTTTTATCTCCGGCACCTGACAACTTAATACAAAGATACCCGTTAAGCAAGAAAAATAAATTAAAACCTGAAACTGGTTATGGTATGATTTACCATTTTAAATCGTTTATCAAAATATTGCAAGAAACAGGACTATTTTATTATATTGATGTTATTTTTGAACTGCAGACCTAGATACTCTATATTTGATTGATTTGAATGGCTATGCTTGCAAGTATTGTGTTCTGTGTATATTTATCTTTGATTTAAATTCCAAACAAGGAATGCAATAGTACCAAATTAATGCTCTGACATTCAGCAGGAAGCTGCTCCATAAAACCTCCTATATTGATCTACTGACTTCTTTAATCAAATGTGTTATTTCCACGTTTTCTCTCAGATTAAGGCCGTGGAATCAAAATCTATATTTGAAGATTTTAACATCCGTGTTAGTATCTCATATAAAAATAAATGGATTGGAAAACCTTAAATCAGTGACATGCATTACTAATGTTTTACAAATGCCATATATGTGGGCGTTGCTCTATAAAAGCTCTTCTGTTCCAATGCATTAATACTTCTAGAGAAGTAGTAGATAAATTAGGTTATTTTGCTTAAAAAAAAAAAAATCCAAATGATGATTTTTTTTAATATTAATGAGTTTTTTTGTTTATTAAGTCTCAGGGAACTGTTGTAACTTCCCTGGGAATGCTTTGGAAATGAAACAGTAAAAACAAAGGGGGCATAATGCAGAAGCATTTGAAAAGCGAGGTTTTTTAGGAGTCACGAACTTGTGTTTCAGTACATATAGTTATTAGGCAGGATGCAAAATATTTTCATATTTTTTTTTAATTATTTAATATAGCTAGGTTGATAGCAATGAAGTTCTCTTGACAAATTATGAAGATACAACCCTAAAATCCACCGTTTCCTTTAAAAATGGGAGATCTTCTGTGTTTTTCATGAAGTCAAAAATGTGAAGTTCTACCAGAGAGTCAAAAGAGAAAGGACCCATTAAGTTTTCACAGAGTGTACTCGTGTTCAGGGTAAACAGACAATTTCAAAGCATATTCAAACTTTTGTTAGCGTTCTAGGTTCTGTCTTGTTTGTAATTTATTTTTAAAGTCTGCCAAACTACACTTGAGAAGTGTGTATTTTCTTCTCTCATTATTAGTAGGTTTAGAATTTTATTTTAAAATATTGATATAATTACTCAATATTAGGTATTGAAAGTCAAATATGAATTAATTTAATAAAATGTGTTCCTTGATTGGGCTAAAGTAGAGAATTTGAAAAGGTTGCTCAGGATCTGTATGACTTTATGAAATGTTTTAAACAGTTGAGCAGATGTTAATATTAGTTTGGATATTAATGGTGGTGACAAAACATGTTTATTTTGTAATCTGTAGGTAAAGTAATTTGGTTGTTTTCAGGGAACAAATGTTTTATCCACTATGATATCATAAAGATCAAAGAGTGTAAATCCCGTAGTTGCTGTTCATGGACAAATTGGAATGCAATTTCTTCCTACTATGCAGATGTTGGGCCACTAACATGCTTTTTTTTCAAGTTGGAAAAACCTTTATATATACGTAGCATATTAAAACCTTTTAACTACATACTGTTACTGAGCACTGTTTAATCTTATATCACTGATTTGTTATGAATTAAATTGCATTCTTAATTGCCTAAATACCTTATATTTTTAAAAGCCTGTTTTTGGACTGCACTTATTTATTCTTAAAGGGTAATCCATAAAGCTGAAAGGCCTGTATTAAATTGAACATCAATGGCAAGCCTGTCATGAGGATTATAGAATTAGAACTAGTGATTTACAGAATGAGAAAACAAATAGGAGATTTTATACACATTTATATATACTTCTTAAATAAATCCTTGATTTCATTTGTTCTGTATGCTGTAGCTTTTTTTCTTTTTTTTTTGTGCAAGAACTATGGTTAATAAAATTCAGTTTAAAGGTCTTCGCAGATATACTTGTAACACCACTTCTCTATGAAAAGTGAGGTACATTCATCTCAAACTCTTGCATCCACCTACTGTATCTGTGAACTTTGTAAATAAGGGGTAATCTCTACTTCCACTAAATCTTCAGTCAGCTCATGCATTCATTCTTTACATCTGCATGAAAATGGATAAACTGAATTTGGACTTAAATTCTTTTTGTCATTCCCTTGAGGTTGTGATGTTTCTTTTTATTTACATGCACATGCCACAAGTATACATATGTACTTAAAGTTTTATCACTAGACCTGTATTTTAACAATGATTTCAGGACAATCTTTAAAATAATAAATTGATTCTAGCAGTTAATGCCCTTATATTAATGGAGAGCAGAGGGTCTTATTGCCTTCAGAACACTAGTTTATTTCAGACCACTAGAAATTGCCTGTCCAATTGAGCGTAAAGTGAAAATATGAAATTGCCTTCAGTGTGTATAATTCTCATGCACCTTAACCTGAATGAAACTGGACTAATTGAATTTCTTTTACTGGTAGTTAGGATATCTTTTGCTTTACTGTTGTCATTTGGTGTCCCAGTGTGGTGCATTTATTTCATTTCTCTGAATAGAATTTGTCTGAAAATCCAAGCAAGCTGGAAGATTAAGATCAAGCATTATTCTTTAGATTTTGCTTCAATAAAAACTGAGAATTTACTATATTAATTCTCTTTAACTTGCCTGGTGAAAGAGCAATTTTAGCACTATGTCCAGCTATGCAGCATTTCAGAGGCATTGCTTTAGAAATGGCAGTGGGGGCATCCATAGAATGAACTAAACTATTAATCTCTTCCACATCTTTTTATTATATATATATATACACACATATATATACATGACAGGATTCTGAACTGCCTTTGCTAAAATCTGAAAACTTAATTGTACTGTCTTCAGGTTTAAGAAATAAAAACAAAAAATACAGTATGGGGTTAAATTCCCTCTGTAGTCTTGTAGAAAGTAGAATTGCAGAAGTTTCTTTTTAATTTTTTTTTGCTTTGTTTGCAGGCAGCCTATTTAGTTAACATTTTGCTAATGAGTTTAAATAAAATTAATTTGGCAGATGTGACAAAATGTTTTTAAAAAGTGTTTTTGTTTTTTTTTCTTCTATTCACTTTTTAGATTAGAGATACTAAATCAACAGATCAGAAAACAACCTTACTGCATTTTCTGGCAGAAATCTGTGAGGAGAATTACCGGGACATCTTAAAATTCCCAGATGAACTGCAGCATGTTGAGAGTGCAAGTAAAGGTAAGCAAGTAGATGAAACACCTAGAGGTAATAGCTCTTTGGAGATATTTCATGTCAAAACATTTCTCTTTAGATTGCAGGATTATGTAACATGTAAGCATTAATAATCCACGTGGATTTTTTTCTTTTCTGATGTTTCTTGATTTAAGAAAAAGTGAGGGGGAGAAATAGTAATAAAGTAACTTTTATTCTGAAGTAGGTTGTGGAAATAATACAACACAGTGAAGTGCTTACAAAATGATACGTAAAAAAATTGTATAAGCAGCGTTGATTACTGTTAGGCCTTTCAAGACTTACTGTTTGAGAGTAAGCACCCATGTGTGTATATGCATATGTTTCTCATTTTAATACCTGATTTTTTTTTTTTAGAGAATAGCAAATATGTTTTCTAATGTGCTCAGATTGCATATGAAAAGTACAATTCAATTTACACTGTACAGTCGATGATTAATACTGATTTTATTTTTGGTCAGTTTGCAGTATTGCCCAGTAGATGTGATAGAGAACTTTATTTATTGTTGGATAACCGTTGTATATAATAAGGTGTGCTTTTTAGTGCACTTGTTGCTTAGCTATGGAAAGATTAAGATTATTTATATCGTAAATAATGTCTGCCATACAGTATAAATGGTTATCATGTAGTATAAGTTATAATAAAGATTTATCCTAACAGAATTTTTCCCTGATCATATTTGCCTTAGTAGTAATTTAGTAGTAATTGAGTGAGGTTTATGATCATCTTTGAGATAAAAATGTTACATCAAAGCATTACATTTCTTATGTTAAAATTCTGTTTCAAATACCAATGGCAATTAAGCCACAACTGCTATTCTTTGTTATAGACTTTTTTTTTTGTCAACTTCATAAGTACCCTTTCACACTTTCTTTCTGCATAAACACTAAAATATATATTGCTTAAAGTTGAAAAGGTCTTGCTGGTTCAGACAAAGCCAACTCCCCTACCCCAGTTTAGTTAATACATGAAATAACAGACTTCAGAACTGTAACAGAAAAGTTTTATATGTTAACGAGAGAAATTACTGTACAAGTGCAATAAAACTGATAATCAGGATAAATGACAATGTGATAAAACTCTTTGAAGTGGACTGCAGTAATTTTTCACTCCTACCTCAGTATATATAACTACTTCAGAATTAGGATAATAATCCATGTTAAATTAATGCTTTAAGTTGTTAGTTGTACTCCAAGAAAGGTAGTTATTTCAGAATCCAGCTTTGTTTTTCTTCTTTACATCCAATGAAAGTATCACCAGGGCTACAGTAAATATATAGACTTTTATTTTTATTCTGAGCATTCACTTGTCTCATGTTTTTCACCTCTCTGCTGTTGGATACCTAATTGGCATGAATGCCTATTGACAAAATTCAGCTGTTCTGTTTGAATAGGGTTGAGGATGATATTGTGGTTTAAGGCAACATAGAAACTGAAGAAATGACTTGTACATTGCAATATTGAAGTAGTTGATAAATAAAGGTGAATCCTTAATGTACAGCGGATGACCTACATCTGACTGCTGTGTCTGAGCATTGCTATGAATGTTACATATGGAGACAGATAACTTTCTTAAACTGATCTTAAACTTGAATGGTTGATTTCAAGGTCTGGCTCTCCCCACTTCCCCAGCTTACTTTGTAAGCGTCCTTAGTTTGGTCTGTGTTTTCACAAAAACTATGATTAAGAGTTTTGCAGCTTTGAGTTTTTTTATACTGTGATTCAAAACCTTTGATATTCTCTAGGTTGACTTGAGGAATTAAACCGAAAGAGTTAGTAAAATTTAGTTAAACTACAGCATCCAATAGGGAGAAAGCATTTAATGGGAGTGAAGTCCCTGTTAATCCCGAAATCTAAGATAGATACAAAGCAGGTTTGACTGCAGTTAGACATTTCATCCTGTAAGATAGGAGCTCATTAAGTTTCTTATAAACAGTGCAGACTTCTTATCAGAAACATAAATTACTGTTCATGTTTAATGACCAAAATTTCCCTTTCAGACTTTTTTTTTCTTTCTGTAACAAAGCAGGTTTTTGGCAGAATAAACCTGATTTATGTAACTTGCCTCAACTGTTCCCATGGTACTTCTTGATTATTGTTTAACTGCAATGTTCATCTGCCCTGTCACGTGTGGTCATTTCCTCTGTGTAGCAAGTTCATGTGCTTTGTGTGGAAGAGATGATTTTCACTTCCTATTTATCATTTGTTGTTTTATAAACCAGTGGTTTTCGGGAATGAACAGTCAGGTTTAATTTTCATGTAGGAGGCTTCTTTTGTTTGAATAAACTGGCTGCAGATATGAGGGCATTCAGATCATTTTTCTGTAAAACAGAAGGAAATCTATCAGCCAATATTATCTCTGTATGAATTTAAATAAGGAAAGATAAACAAAATCTACTTTTTAGGCAGAAGGCAGACACACAGTTTGAACGATACATAAAGCTAAATTCATAGACTTAGTCAACTTCTTTTAACATCTCAGGACAATATTCTTGGTCCCATGTAAATAAAATAAAGTCTTACTTTGCTTTTATTTTCATATAAGCATAAAGAACGAGTATCTGAACAAAAGATGTATGGTTTTGAACAAATAGGAGATAAAGCATAAAACTGGATTTTAATATGTAAAGGTCAATGGGAATTAGGTGAACTGCCCGTGCATGTACCAAAATCTTCAATAATCTGATATTAGGTATAATAAAATATTTTTATCTTTTTAAACATGGAATAACAACCTAGTGTTTTTTTGAAAACTAAAACTAAATTAGGAAACAGTTTTATTCTGGAAAGTATAAGCAAAGGTCAAACTGATTAACTATCAAGAGATTATTGGCAAAGCATTCTTTCTTACCTAATATGAGAAGAAAAGCAAAAAAGCAATAAAATCACATGGTTGTGACAAACTGGATGCAAGTAATATTCAGTTATGGCATTTTCTCTTAAAATTTTATGATTTGTGATTTTAATAAATATTTAACAAATTCACATCCATTTCTACAGTCAATGAAAAACTTTAAAAATAAGAATACCTCACTGGAGTCAGGCAATATGTTTGGGATTTCTAGAAAAAGTTGTACTGTAAAAAGTATTTGAAAATCCTTGCAAAAGATATATATTCTGTTACTTGAAGCTCCTATGACTGTTAAGCTTACCAGAAATGGTAGAAAAGAAATACATAACCCACGTAATGAAGAAGATGAAAGTTACCATATATTTTATAATAATAATTTGTTTTCAAATTTTAAAAGAACAATAGTTGTAAATCATAGTTCATGGTTTAAATAGCATGTATATTTAAAATGAAACATTTTTATCAGTTGATTATTCTGACTAGTTCCTCCTGCGTTTAACAATTCTTGACACACTTATGTTACCTGCTTGCTTTGTCTGCCAAAGTTGGGAACTACTAGGCTTTCTACCAGAATGCAGAGTCATGAGAAGTTTTGTAATTTTTTTTGTTTGTTTATTTATTTTTTATTTATACTCATAAATAGTAGTCATTTTTCTGTCAAATGGAATTTCTATAGTTCATTGCAGTAGAAGAAAATGTTTTTAACAAAGAAATCTGTGGTATTTTCTACCTTGCACAGATTACGTTGCTGAAACAGATTTTGCCCGATCTGGCATGTTAGTGGATATGAAATAGACAGTGCCTTATGGCATTATAAATATAATGCCTGCATCTGTGACTGTTCTTTCCATAATAGAATCTGAAAGCTGGCATTTTGCTTCACAATCAAAAGTCAGTCTTACACTGTATAGTGACTTCTGTCATTCTTTTCATTCATATAAAATGCAATAATGAAATGTCAGAAAATATCTCAATGTCTTTTTCTGAATGTAGGTGCATCAAATACTGGATAACTGCTGTCCTCCAGAAAACTGTATTTGCATATGTCATATCATATGCATATGTATTTGCAGTCCCATATTTGCATATATCATTGTTGTATTGATGGTAGCTTATCCATCATCTCATTAAAAGCTTTTTGACAGAAGTGTTCTCTTTCACTGACAAGATTTCAGTGAAGAAGACGGAGAAGTAAAGCTTTGCAGATTTTGTGTTGTAGTTCCAATCTTCAATTTCTGAAATACATCCTGTTGGGAGACTCAGTAGGATTCAGGATTGGCCTGCAAATATGTCTAAAAAGTTTTCCCTGTCTTTTATGGGCTTTAGGCTTTATGGGCTTTTTTTTGGCAGTTATCTTCTAATGTGTAGTGTTATGCAAAGTCATGGTAGTTTGGAATTTGAAGCTACATTTTCAAGCTATAATTTTAATTCCACCTTAAACAAAGCTTTTCAGTATGGCATGTGTTTTAAGGATTCACTTCTCTTCCTGAAGAGTAATTATCAGAGGCAAAATTAGGGAACAGTCCAGATGACTCTCATAGGCTGTTACTTATTAAAGAAATTAGAGCATTAAAGAATTTCTGAATATATCTAAACCAATTGAGGTTTGAAGACCCCTTTAAGTGGCTTCTCAAAGAAAGAAATCCATTCAGAATTCCTTATTACCAACCTTTAGTGAGAAGTTGGTACTGTTTTGTAGCTTTCACAGTGCTACTTATTTTTATTCTCATCTGTTCTTGAATTTACACTCTTCTTGATATGAGGAAGGTTGTTATGCCTCTGGAGGCATGGCTTGCACTTCAACAAATTGGAAAGACCAAACACTTGTTAAAAGTTAAGAGCCTGAAAAGGAGGACTGTTAGATCAAATTGTTCCATGTCTTGTCTAGTGCATTTTTAATAACTCAGTGATTGAACAGCTTTCCCTGATTGTGTTACCAACACTTTACTCCTCCTCTTACTTTGGATTCCTTTCTGCCTGCAATTTCTGCACATATACCACAGTAGTATATCATGTGCCATAGTTGTTTCACAGTGAATTATTTATATAAAACATGTATATATAAAAATGTGCTGTTGGCAGTTTACTCCTAGGTGAAAATATACGAAAAGCATGGTATTGACAGCATATGTCAGAGAAAGTAGGAAGCTGGCACACAGGATTTGTGCAGGTCACAAAATAAGCATAAAACATCAGGATTCATCCAGAAGAATCACCACAAACAAACAAATGCAGCAAAAAAAGGTGTTCTTACCTTAAAATTGCAGTTGGCAAATTGAGAGGATAATAGAATCCATACACAATTGCTTTAACAGTTGTTATATTTTAATCAAAGTCTGAAATGATAAAGTATTACATATCAGAGATACGTACATTTATATATTACATGTGTCTGTGCGTAATACACACATGTATGCCTGTGAGACAGTATATATCTCAAAATGTGCCTGGATATTAAGTGTGTGCCATATGTATGTGTCTATTCTCTATTTACTTTTTAGTGCTGTACTATAAGTCCTTTACTTCTTTTTAATTGTCAGTGACTTGTATTATTCAAACCTATCTTTGATGTTAACAGAGGGTTTCACAGACATTGGTTTATAGAAATCAGTTTAATTTCAGTAAAAGAAAAATATTTGATCTTTTTTCTGTGTCTGTTCCTTAAATCACTTCTGTAACTAAGTACATGCGTTAATAAGATGATTCATTTAAGCAAGTACATGCATTAATAAGGTGAAGTCTCTTTGAACCTTAGTTACTTTCTAATCTTTGAATTACATATAAAAGAATGAAATACTAGATTTTTTACCAATAAATTTGAATAGAAATTGAATCATTTGAACTAATGGTAGAATTAAGTGGTGACATTTCCATATTAAGTGTGATGATTTGGTGTATTACATTAGATATTTTTACTTATTTTTATGTAGAGTTGAATTTTTTTTATGAACAGTAATTCAGAAAAATGTGTCTACTTCATGGAATAATTCTTCTTAAGACTATTCATAATGTCGTTGTTTTCTCCCTTTCTGACACCCTTTCTTTTTAATTGTATTCTGGAAGCTTTTTACTTATTGACTCTTTTTCTTAGTTTCAGCCCAGACTCTGAAGAGCAACCTTGATTCAATGAACCAGCAAATCCAGCGCCTAGAGAATGACATTGAGAATTTCCCTAAAACACAAGATGAACATGATAAGTTCGTAGAAAAGATGAGCATATCCTTTTTGCATGTTTATACGGCTGATATCAATGTTAACTTTGTCTGGTTAAGTATTTCACAACACTTAAAATTAAGTTTTAAATCTCTTCTTCCATGCTTTTATTCTAGTGGAGAGAAAAGTATGTCAGAATATGCTGAATGTAAGAAAACAAGGAAGCCATTAACTAAGCTGAATCTTATGTTTTATTCGTAATTGGTGTATAATTTAAAGTATTCCAAAGGAGAAAAGCAGATAGCTTTCTTAAAGGAATTAAAGTGTCTTGTCATGAAGATAGTTTTGTTTTTCTTCTAAAGAACAGTATTTAATGGTAATTGTTAAGTCATTTCTGTCTCAACAACTGCCAGCAGTAGAGTTAAGATCGGTTCTTATTTTAGCTTCAGATAGGTTGATATTTGAAGGGGAGAGTATCGGGTGGATTTTTTTTTTTTTTTGGTCAGATCTGTTTAGAGTAAAAGTATTTAGATACTTGGTACTTGAGAGATTTGTGCTTTTATTTCAGAATAAATAGAGAATAGAGACTGTACATTCTTTAGTACAAGGAAAAACTGTGGGAGAACACCAAAGCATGTTCGTTTAGATCGTTTTCTCTCCAAAATTTGTACATATCAGTCTTTACTTTTGTGCAAGAATATAAGGTAATAAGTAAACTGTCAGTGCAAGAAGCTCACAAAATTTTCTGAGACCAGGCAGAAGTTCATGTTTCTTTAAAAAAATAAAATAAGTAAAATGCATAAAGCACATCTGTGTGGAACCATTTAGAGTATGGTACATGGTAAAGACAGGCGTTTTCTGCATTTATAGAAGCTCCGATAATTCATGTGGTATCTTAATGCAATGATAATGCAATGAGACAGAAGTTATAATTTTGTGGTTTTTTTTTTTGTTTAAAAAAATGGAGATGGATGTCTAGAGCTGCTGTTACTTGCTCATCATACTTAGGTGAATGTAATGAAGGATTCACCCAATGTATTTGGAATCTGAGTTTTAGCAGGATTAATCATCTGAATGGGTTCGGTGACAGAAATTCACAAGAATATGTTTAATGTCTTCTCTGTGTGCATTTATTTTAAGTTTCTGTCAAGACTAGAAAACTAACTTGAAGTAGACAACTCATAAGAAGAAAATTTTTGTTCTCTTCTGCCTTATTCTACCTTGTCTTTTTTGCAAGGTTAGGAGACGTGTTAGTAATCACATTTAATCAGGTTTGCTGTTTTTTTTAGTAGAAGAAAAAATTGTTTTCCTGAGATGCATTCACATAGGGAAACCTTCACTTGTAATAGCCCTTTGTTTTGACATTGTGTGTAGGCTGAATACAGTCAAGTAAACCAGTTTTCTTTGGACGTGAAACCAAGATATTGAAATACACCTTTTGCCACTGTGTCATTTGGAATTTTACATGTGTTGTAGACTTACTGTCTACAACAAACTGTATTGCAAGTTGTATACATACTTTCAGTTGTGTTGAGCCAGTGCTTTGTCATTTGTTATTTTTCTGCTTGTGCCTTTACTATACTTAGAGAAGATTATTTATATCATTCAAGTATTGGTGAGGCCACATAGGTACCTTTTTTTGTATCTGCTGCTTGTCTCCTGAATTTATTGAAGCACGAAGATTGCCTCAGTGTTACTGAGATTAAAACATGTGTACATATATATGTATATAAATGGCTTTTTGTATTAGCGATAATATAAAGATCCTTTAAAAAAAAAATAAAAAAATGTTGCAAGTCTATTAAGAAGGCAGACTTGCTCTGGTGCACATATGTTAATGTCACAGCTAGATTACCAGTTCCTGGTTATTAAAGTAGGTACCCTGAACTGTAGATGTCTGACAGCTTTTTATCCTATCAGTGGATTTGGTGGCTTAACAAAACAGATAAGACTAAAAAATGAACTGATTCTGCCTAAGGAATGTTATGTCAAATGATCAAATGTAGTTTAATATTTTAAAATGTTCTACATTCCTGTGTTATATTTTTTAGAATGGACAATAAATTTGGAAGGGTTTTAAGAGGAATTATTTAAGAGGAAAAATACCACATTTTAATCATCAATCTGTTTCTTTTGTTTCTGTCATATTGTTGAAGAACTGTTGTCGATAGCACATACTGAGATTAGGAAGTTGAGGAATTTCAAGCTGAACATCTCTAACTGCCTGAGTGTTTCAGAAAAATTGGTACATGTTGGAATATAAATCATCTCTCAGTAGGGTTTTGGCATGCAGGATTAAAGGCATAGTTTCTCTTTTCTTTACCTGCCACTAAACAAAGCAGTGTGCAAGTAATTGTGAATGAGACTTCCTTCAGACAGCATGAAAGGAGTATTGCTTGGTATCCTACTAAATTAGGACATTAATTACAATAAAAAATACCACTTGTAATATTTATAATGATAAAGTAATAATATAATTCATAGTGTAGAAGGAAATGGTATAGAACAAGTTTGGTTTCTATAACTTAAAAGAGAAATAATGCGAGTTTTTTGTATTATGAGTGACAAAAATACGAGTATGAATCCCGCTTACTTTTGAGTTAGATTTAATTTCCATTACCCATTTTTAAGCAGGTTAATTTGTGACTTTTCTTAATCAGTGTTTTATTTGGTGTGTACGGTTACTCATTTCAGTGCACACAACTTGATGTAGTTATTGATAGAGTATTGACAGAGACCTAAACCCAGAACTACAGTAGGTATTAAATACAAAGACAGGAAGAATAATATTTTACTATTCCACAGTAGATGAGTAAGTATGTCCCACTGACTAAAAAAATTAAATATAGCTCTAAGAGTTTTAATTCAATGTAATTTACAAATTGAATTCAAAATTCAATTTAATTCAATGACTATAGTTTGCTAACTGGGTACACATTTCAGACACTTATTTTGACACATTTTTATTATGTATAAACTGAGGCAAAATGAGTTATCTGAGCAGTTTATATTTAAAACTGGAGGCAACTAAATAAAATCACTTGATTTCACAAGTATATTTGGTTTTCTATTAGACTTGCTTTAGGACTATGCAGATATTGGTTCTGGTGAATTGGTTCTGTAGTTGTGTCAATGTGACTTCCTGCCTAAGGGTGTATGATTTTTTTCTATTTGATTGTTCATAAGGATCAGTGAACATAATAAGAATTGCAGATGAAGCGACTGTAGTTTGATTTCCATCTTTTATAACCAATTAATTTTATTGTGATAATATGATTTGATTTCAACTATGATAGAGTACAGGTAATGCCACTGTCAACGTCATACTTGGATTTTTCTGTCTAAAAGCATGTCTTTTATGAGAGTATAAATCTTGACTTGAAAAATTCAGATAGTATAATTTCTTCTATGTTCCTAATAGATTCTATCAATGATTTTCTTTCAAAAATACACAGATTGATGCTGGTTTGACTTCTCATGGTTTCAGTTTCTAGCCATCTTAAGTTTTTTAAGACTTAATGGCTATTACATATCTCTTTCTCAGTGCAAGAATTTTGATACTATGGTCAGGTGACTTAAATTTATCTGTGATAACCAAGTAGGCTCATTTCTCTAGTATTCTTGGTGTTTTTTTAATATGCTTTTGTAAAGCAGTTTCCAACTAAGTACAGTGCTTCAGTATTTTTGTAGCTTCACAGGCATGAGTTAAAAATTTAATATTATTTGTTTTCGTTCTACATCAGAAGTTGTTTCTGTCACCACCATCACAGTGGAACTTTGTATTCGGTTAGAATCACTGAGGTTGGAAAACACCTCTGAGATCATGTAGTCCAAGCATCAAACCATTAGGAAACAATGCAAAGTTGCTTCCATGACCACTACTTGCTGTGGGACACAGGTCTGCATCCTGTAAGTGCAGTTACATGTTGTTTATAAGGAACACTGGACTTTAGGGGGGAACTGCACAGAAAAATTTTTGTGGGATTCTGAAGTGATAGTATAGGCACTATCATGCTGTCATACTAGGGTTTTAGTTTACCTGCCTTATATTGGGATTTTCTTCAGGTACTTAATTGCCCAAGTTTTAAGGAATACTCACAGCACTGTCTGAAGTTACTGGGATCCTGAAGATTATTTATATGGTTGGCCACCAATAGCAATTGATTTCAGAACCTAATGAGAATTACAGCTGTTCTGTAAAGTAAAGTAAAATGTAATACGGTTACAGAAAAAGAAAAGACATTAAAATGTTCTGCCTGTGAATTATATGGTATGTTAAGTAACTTTTTCATAATCTGATCCAGGACTCAAATAGTATTTTACTTGAAGATCATATATATGTGAGAGGTTTCTTTATAATTATCCCAGCTTCATGTAGCACTGGAGAAGTAATTATAGACTATGACAAATTTGGCTTTCACTCCTTGATTTGTTTCAGTTTTTGTGCCTATAATTAAAGATTTTAAATGGAAAACTCAGAATTTTGTACTTACAAGTAATAGGTATATGGATTATTTTCTTTTTAAGTGATGTTAAAGCATGAGTGTTTGTCTTTCTAAGGAAACTAGGTTTTTGCTATAGCTGCTTGTATATAAAGAATCAGAGGTCTTGCTTTTGGACCATTATATAATTTGTAAAGAATCAGACTTTTTTTTTTAACATAATATATCTGAGATGTATTAATGATGTCTGTGACACTCTTATCTGTTAGCACTTGGATATCCTCCTAGCTTGTTACTGGAAAAAATAATTCACGTGGTGTTTTGAGATGTCATTTTTGGGGAAGCCTGTTTTGTTTATGAGACAATTTGAAGTGCACTGGCCCCTTCATTTCTTTATGAGTATGTATATTATGTATATTAGAATTTGCTCATACTTAAGGGTGCCTCAAAAGTAATACCAAAGGGTGAAATTTCTATGAAGTTTTGTACATGCATTGTACAAATGCATTTGAAATACCTGTTGCCTGAATGCACTTGTCACTACTCCTGGGAACTAGAAAAGAAAAGCCATTCAAAGATCTTTGAATTTTAGGTCATGTACAGTCTTTGAGATCATCTTCT